GTGTCAGATAGTCAGAGAATCAGAGTGAGAGAGGGTGAGAGACAGTGAGAGAGAGTGAGGGAGTTCGAGTGAGAGTGAGCGTGAGAGAATATGAGAGACAGCATGAGTGTGAGGGTGTGAGAGTGAGTGAGAGAGCGTGAGGGTAAGAGAGTGAGACAGAGTCTGAGTCTCTGACTCTCACTCTTTGACATACTCTCTCTCTCACTCTCACTCTCTGACAGTCTCACACTCTCTGACTCTCTCAGTGAGAGAGAGTCTGAGTCTCTGACTCTCTCTCACTCTCACACTCTCTCATCTCTGACTCTCTCTCACTGAGAGAGTGAGAGTCTGACTCTCTGTGTGAGAGAGGGAGTGAGAGACAGCATGAGTGTGAGGGAGTCAGCAATCAACTGCATGGCACCCAACAACCACGGCACACTCCCGCCCCTGAAACGTGTGCCCAGGTCTTGTGTCAGTAAGCACACAGTACACGTGCTGCTGGTTGCCTACAGGTGTTTGTCTACAGAGTGAGCACCCAAAAAGCCTTAGGAACACAGCAGGGCACATAGCTCATCAACTGCAGCTGCTCGGAGACCCAGGTACAGGTGACTCGAGGCTCCCTGCCCGCGGCCAGTGTCACCCCAGAGCCTGTCCAGCTCAGCCCTGGGGATGCTGTTCCTGCAAGGGGACAGACAAGTGCCAGGTACCTTAGCGCTGTTCACAACGGAAGCACAAGGCCGTCCTTTCAGGCACAGAAACACAGTCATCGATTCTGCCCTCGTCTCCTTTCACCTGAAAGCTGCGGACTGCTAGAGGACTGACTGCCCACACTGAGTTAAAACGTTTTCTGTAAATATTTTATTTTCCCGTATCTCTTTAAGTCAGAAAGAAGCATTTGGTAATAAAAATAATAGAGAATTACTTTTTCTTTTCTTCAAGTCGACGATGCTGCTATGTGGCCAGACTCCCAGCTCCCTTTATGATGACGGGCTCCCACCTCCAGACCCTTGGGAGTTCCGTGTGCTTCCAGATCTGAACAACATCCGGCTTCCGGGCTATTTACACCTAGGTGACAAGGGAGACAGAGGGTTCCACGAAAAACTCAACTAGTGGCAAGCAGCAGCGGGCCCCTGGCAGAAACAGGCTTCCCCTGTCTTCTTGCCGTTGGTTCTTAAAAGGAAAAGCGCGAGGACGTTCTCGTGATAAAAAATGCGTGGGCCTCCTGGGGCCTTGGAGTCTACGGCGTGTTGTGCACGATGGGGGGACAGGAGTGTGATGTGATATCACTGTGTTTGTACGCGGCTTCGTCCAAGTCCAGGGCCTTCTGGTTGACCTCCAGAGTCAGGCAGCCATGGTAGAAAGCTGTGACCGGCACTGAAGTCACAGGAACATCTGGGTGGAAGGGAAAGAATGAGACACCGAGACACCATCTTTAGCCAGGAGCGCACCCCTTTGCTGACTCCCTTTCCTGCGCCTCTGCCTGCTTCTCTGTCCTCGCTCCCTGGCCAGGCTCTGGGGCCCCTGGCAGGCAAGCAGCACATACGCACCAGCCCCCACTCCCCCCAGCCAGGAAGTACACCCAGATCACTGAATCAATTAAATTAATATCTTATTATGAGTCATGCGTGCTGCGAGGCTTCCCAGCGCGACCTCATCCCCTCCCAAGCTTTGTTTGTGAATGCAGGATGAAGTATGCCTCTGGCAGCCGAGCCAGCCCCAGTCCTCTGCCTCGCGGGGCGAGTCATGACCTGTGCTGGCCGGTGGGCAGAAGCCGGGACTGCGATGAGCACCTGGCTCACAAAGGTCACCGGCTCAACAAAGCACCTTGTTCACTAAAGGAAGGTCAAGGCGAGGCCCTTGGTTCCCAGCAGGCCAGTGGTATCCTAGCCCTGGGAGCCATGGTGTGAGCAGCCCCCAGCAGCTGGGACCACCTACTCCATAAAGGAGCTCCTGCATCGCCTGAGAGCTGCTCAGCCTGTTGAGCTTTCGCCCCCTCTGCAGCCTTGGCCACACCCACCATGTCTGGCAGGCACTTCCAGGTGGATGCTACTGGAAGGGCCACAGGAAGGTGAGGGCCTGACTCAAGCTCTGGTGAGCCCAGTGGCTCAGGGATCCCCTGCAGACACGGCAGGGTCCCCAGGGGTTAGCTCAGGAACAAAGTGGCACTTTCCCTTCCTCTCAAGCAAGTCCATTTCCACAGTTACTTTTAGAAATGCCAGCTTCTGTCTGAGGCCACCGATCTGGTGAGGGTGAGACCCATTGGGGCGGGGCCATGTTCCAACCCATCCCCCCAGCTCCAGGGCCCTACCTGGGAGTCCCCCCAGGAACGTGTGCACAGGTTCCTGCAGGTGCCTCTTCAGCACAGCCAGCCTTTCCTGCAGCTGCTCGGGGCTCACTTCACTCTGGCCCTTGGTGCCGTCCACCACCAGGCTCGCCTCCCCTTCCTTCACAGAGACCGTCACGACGTGCTCCTGACTGTCACAGACCTTGATCTCCATCAGGGACAGGGTGACATTCTCAACAGCCAGGACCACCAGCTGAAGGGGCGAGAAGCAGGCTTTAGTCCACACAGGGGAGCCACGGGGGCGGGGGTGGGGGGCTGCGTGCCAGGCAACCACCGCGTCTCTCTCACACAGGGACCCCTGAACCCCGCGGGAAGGGACATCGCCCGCTTCTTGTCCTCAGATGCCTTCCTGTGTCTTGCAAGCTGCAGGCTTCCTTTGGTGGCGGGTGTTTCTGGCCGCCCTGCATGACCTGGCTTCTAGCCTCGCCTCTGTGGCTTGTGGATGGACGGCTCACCTCTCTGGGACCCCATTTCTCCATGTGTCACATCATGAGCCTGAGAGTAAAGTTCTTGTGCTCCTTCCCAAGCCTGGTCTTGAACAAGCAATATAAAGGGTGCCACCTAGGGACCCCGAGTCAGGAGAACTCAAAACCATACATTCCGGCCACCCACTCGGGGAACCCTGTGGCCCTGGGGTGAAAACTACCCGCTGCTAACTGAAAGGTTGGTGGTTCAAACCCACCAACTGCTCCGTGGGAGAACGATGAGGCGGTTTGTTTCTGTAAAGAGTTACAGCTTTGGAAAGTGTGTGTGTGTCTCCCCAAAAGGGTCTCTACGAATATTTGGACTCAACATCAGTGCATGAAACGACCCACACAAATGTACACGCGTCTGAACTGAGTGTAAGGAAAAGCTATTACAAGGCTTTGCCTGGCAAGGGACAGAGGACACTGCTTCGGGTTTTGTATGAATCTTGTCTCCCCAAGCTGCTGCGAGCAAGCAGCACTGGTGGATTGGAAGCAGCCCCAGGGGCGCAAGGCCGCCCCTCCTTGCTAAAATCTGTGCAGGCTCACCCATCTTCCCTTCATCTGCACCAGCCCAGGGAAGTGGTTCTTGAACAATAGAAAGGACAGGTCTATATGTGGTGGTTCACACCCCCAGGCTCCCCATGGGAGAAAGAGGTGGCGTCTTCTCACCAGGAGCTCCTGCCTTGAAAACCTGTGAGGCAGTGCTCCTGGGTCCAGAAGGGTCACTGCTGTGACTCCGGGGGCTGGGTGGTACCTGTTTTTTCCAAAAGCCGGGTCTTTGGTTTGAAAAACATTCCCAGAGTCTCTCTCCTCTCTGGAGATGAGGGAATGTGTGTGTGACCCAAGCCCATCACTGGCTAGTCCAGGTACCCAGGAGACCTCAGTTGCTTCTGAAGGCAGACAGGGGAGTGAATGCAAGCTTTCCCACCGGAGGCAGAGGCAAGAGATTGCAAGGGCAATTTCCTTTCCGTTCCTGCACACGGAGAAGGAAAGGCAGGTGCAATGGGGAGAGCTCATGGACTCAGTGCCAGGGGCATGCCAGGGGGAAGGAACTGGTGAGCTGTGCTCTGCTCTGCCACCGTAAGAATGAGGCTGCTTGAGGGAACGGCAGGCCCAGGGTGAGAAGATCCGGGTTTTTTTGAGAGAAACTAGAATTTGGCGATGAGGTCCGCTGACTTTTAAATAATAGCAACAAGTTCAAATTTTGTTCTAAAACCACAGTGAGGGTCAAAAAAACATCCCAGTGCATCGGTGGGCCTTCTGGGTGCAGAGCCCTGGTCGGCTGCCAGCAGCTGCTTCTGCCAGCAGCGTCTGTAACTTGCAATTGTGTTAGGTTTGATCTGTCAACAGCATCCCGGCAAAGCCATGGGCATCGTGTGCCAAACTTGGCTGATTAAACCTCTGGTCAGAGACTTTGCAAAAACAAACAAAAACAAACCAAACCAGTTGCTGTGGAGTCAAGCCTGACAGATGGCAGCTCTGTGTATGCAGAAAACGGATCCCTAGCGTTCTCTAGGCTGCCACCGGTGGGAAGCAGGTGACCCGGGGTCTTTCTCCGAGGGGGTCTCTGGGTGTGTTCAAACCGTCAACCGTTCAGTTAGCAGCTGACGGCTTGGTCGCTTGGGCCTTTTAGGTTGGGGTCACGCAGGCAGAGGCAGAGGGAAGGTGCAAAGCAAGAGGAGTTTTCGAGTCCCTGAGTGTGGAGAGGGAAAGCAGCCCCCTCCCGGGTCCCTCGGGTGCTAGGGCTTCAGTAAGGCAGGGCTCGGTGGCAGACGGAGCCGTTCATACCTGCTTTTTGAGCTTCTTAGTGGAGTGGTAATCCACCAGGGCCACGGAGAAGGGGACGGTGCGGTCCTCGCCCATCAGCGCTAGCAGCACGCCAGTGTCCGAGGCCGGGCGGATCCGAGCAATGACTTCTATTTCCCAGGTCGTTTCCGTTCCCACGTCCAGTGACGTCCGCACTGCGAAGAAGGCGGCACATCACCAGATGATACAGACGGGGGAGCAGCCACCCTGACGGGGCCCACCGGGGGCTCAGGAGGACCGTGAGTGGCAGGGCTGCGCCCAGCACCTTCTCCTGGGCCCTGAGGAACGCTGGGCACCGCAAGTGGAAACTGGTAACACTCCTTTCCACCGCAGAGAACTCAACGAGGCCTTTCAAGGAACCCAATAGCTGCTTCGGGAGCTGTGCTGTAACTGGGCGTGACGGGCAAACACCAGCGGTTGGTTCCTAGTCTAGCAGAGGGCAAGCGGGAAGCTGAGGAGGGATGGCTGCATCGTCCTCCCTGTTGTACCAGCTCCTTTCACTTCTGCGTGTGGCCTCCAGGCAGCGGGGTGGGCCAGGGGACTGTGGCCAGGCAGCCAGCCCACCTTCTTTGTAGAGCCCTGGTGGCTTAGTGGTTACAAGGTGGGTTTCTAATTACCAGCACGGAGGGAGAAAGATAGGCTTCCTACTCCTGGAAAGTTAGAGCCTTGGAAACCCACAGGGGCAGGTCTACTCTGCCCTATAGGGATGCTATGAGTCGGAATTGACTCAATGACAACCAATCTGGTGTTTGGGTTTCTCTCAGTACCAGAACCTAATTTTCCAGGGGCCCAAGTGGAAAGCAAATGTTTTGAGAATGACGGGGATAACAAATGTACAAATGTGCTTGACACAGTGGAAGCATAGATGGAGCGCGATAAGAGTTGTACGAGCCCCCAATAAAATGATTTAAATATTAAAAAATACCCCCCCAAAAAAAGAGCTAAGATTTGTTTCTAAGCAAACATGTTCATACATTTTGTTAATTCGATCCACTTAGTTAAGATTACATCCCATAGAAATAGATCTATGAGCCTATATTTAAAGGTTTAGTATTAAGGTAGCAGAAGGACATTGGGCCTCCACTCAAGTACTCCCTCAATGTAAGAATCCTTTCTTCTATTAAATTGGCATTCTATGATGCTCACCTTCCCGACACAACCGCTGAAGA